CAGGGGCTGTGGGTGTGACCGGCCAGAGCGCTCCCTGGGGCTGCTGTCACCGGGTCCTAGCAGGACCGTCCATTCCCTGGAAGCCTCCTGGCCTCTCCCCAGGGGGCTCGGGAGAGGGCAGCCCTTGGCCACTCGGTCCTGCAGGCAGATGGCGGCAGCAGGCGTCAAGTCCCATTTCCGGCCCGCGGGTGGCCTGTGTGGGTGTCCCTCGTGGGGCCGTGGCCTGCGCTCTCATCAGCCACTGTTGCTAGTGAAAGTAAACACCCAAACAGCACCCTGTGGATTCAGACCCCATAAAACAGAGGCGCCCCAAGCCGCTTTATGGGGTGCCAGGTTCCAGAGGCGGGAGAGGCCCGCGGAAGCCTGGCCGTGAGGGCCACCCAGGGCTCGCGCTGGAGCGAGGGTCTGGCCGTCCGCACAGGCCTGCCCCGGCCCTTGAGGACAGCCTTACGAAGGTGGCGCTGGGCTGGTCAGCAGTGCGGAGGGTCTGCAATTGGGTTGACAAGCTGAGTGAGTCCGGGAGCTGGTAGGGTGGAGGTGCTGGCTGGCCGGCGGGGCTTCCAGAGGGCCTTCCCCGGCCTGCATGGCGTCGCCCCAGTTAGCACGGTAGATGCTGGGGTTGCATCAGCACGCCTGGGGAGTGAACCCCAGAAGGGTAATTTTGGCTGGTGTCTGCCTCTGCAGTTCCGCTTTCACAGACTAATTGGATCCGTTTGCTTTGTTTCTGGGTTCCCTGGGGACACGGGGCTTCCTCTGGAGAAGGTCCCCTTGTGCTCAGGTGGCCTCTTAGTGCTAGCCTGCAAGCGTCTGGTGGCCTCCACCTAAGAGATCGGGGTGCAGTGAGTTAGGGGTGTGACCTGGGTGTCACATTTCCTTCAGGGCCTCACTTAACCAGGTGATTTGCCTGCAGGTGGCTGAGCCCCCGACTTTGCGAAAACCTGGCTTAGGGGTCAGGGAGCCTGGGTCAGGGATCAGGAACTACTGGCAGAGAGAGGCCGCTCTGATGCGGGCTGCCCGTTGTGTAGACAGCTGGCGCCAGCCTGTGGCATGGCTTGAGAGGCCGGTCTCCAACCCTGCGCCCAGCCGGCCGGGGCCTGTTGAGCCAAACAGCCTGTGACTGCCCCTTCTCCCACTCAGTCGTCACCACAACCCGTGAGCAGGGCTGTGGCCAGCCCTGGCTTGCAGATGGCTAAGTGGAGGTGAGGCTTGGGAAGCTGCGGGCCGGCTTCCTGAGAGACCTGATGCCCCAGGCGTCCCCGGGGGCAGGGGGAGAGGATTCTGAGCAGCTGCTTTTCTGTCTGTAAAGAAGCCCTGAGTGTCTCCCCCAGCTATCCGGGAGGGCTATAATTTAAGCATTTAAAAGGTACCAAAATGAGAAGTATTTAGACAATGACTAAGCAAGCAGCAGTGACATTTTGAGAGCTAACAGTCACCGGGACTCTGTTGGGTGGCTGCCCGGTGCTGGGCCCTGGCTTTTGTCTGGATATTCCTTGGTGAAATGCACACAAGGCGACCACTTAGCACAGTTCAGTGGCCCGAAGCACGCGTACACTGTTGTGCGGCCACCTCCATCCAGCTCTAGAAATTTCTCCGCCGCAGAGCTCACGGCTGGGCCGCGCGGAGCCCCGGCCGAGGCTGCTGGGTGGGTGTGCCTCACTGAGCAGGTGTGCGAGGGTCAGAGAGCCGCATCCTCGGTCAGCGTCCTGCTTTCCAGTTCAGCTGGCTGGGCCTGCGTTCCTTTCCCGGGCGGGCGGGTAGATGGCGTCTGGGCTAGCCGTCCATCCCGGTGGCCATGGCTTACTGGCTGTTTCAGCAGTTCTGTGCTGATCCATGGGTGCAGGCGGTCTCTCCTGCACAGCTTGACGTGGAGGACAGGGACGGTTAGGAAGCATCCGTGACCCAGAGAGGTGGAGTGACTTGCTCAGGGTCACGTAGCAGGCAGGGCTTGCTGGCCCCGGGCCCAGAAACCTGATACTTTGCAGCCCTGGTCCGGCCTTACCCAGCTGTGATGGTCCCTCAGTTGGATCCAACCTGGCGTGGCCTGAGGGTTGTTTAAAAAGAAATTCCAGCCCTCCCTGGCGGTTAAAGCACAGCACTGAGAAGCTAAAGCCACTTCAGCATGAGTTTGATCCCCGCCTGCTCCGGAGGTGGCCCACAGGGCGCGGCAGACCTCTCCTGACCACCCGCTGCTCCCCTCAGCAGTGGACTTCATCAATCTGCCTGTTCTGCTCCCCACTCTGTCTCTGGTGAAGCCTCTCACTGCCCCTGCACCTCTGGCCTGTACCCCAGCTCTGTATGCATAAATAAATAATTTTTTTTTTTTTTAAAGAAAGAAATTCCCTTCTGGGGTCCTTCCCTCAGGTCACTGGCATCAGAATTTCTAGAATGGTGTTCTCAGTCTGAGCTGCCTTGGGCCCCTTCCCCTTCAGGAGATATTTAGCCACATCTCAAGGCAATTTGGGTTGTCAGAGGGGGCAGGGGGCCCCCCTGCTGGCATCTAGTGGACAGAGACCAGGATGCGGCCAGAGAAGCATCTGCCGGGCACAGGCAGCCCAGATGGTCCAGTCGATGTCCACAGGGCCAGCTCAGAAGCTGAGGCAGGGCCGGGGTCAGCCGCCTTGGGCTCCCCTGTCTGCACGGCAGCTTCTGCCGCCATGTTCCTTTGACTTTGCACTACCTGGGAATCACCTGGCTTCCTTGTCCCACAGCAGATTTGGTCCAGAGGCTCAAGGGGGACCTGAGGTTCCACATCTGTAACGAGGCCCCCGTGGGGCCGCCGCCCCTGCTGCCCAGTGAGAGGCCGCTGGCCTGTGGGTCAAGGCCTCAGGAAGCTGGGTTGCCTCTTGTTTCCTTTCAAATTTTCGCTTACAAAGATGGTGTCCTTCAGAAAGGGAGAGAGGTGCCAGCGGCAGAGAGGGCGAAGCTGGTGGCTGCTTGAAGCTGCAGCTCTGGCTGGAGGGCGCTGAGGCGGCCTCGGGGAGAGACCAGCCACGCCATGCGCCGTGACCCTCCGCACAGCTGCGCGGCCGGGCTGCCCGCCCAGTGTGAGAGCTCCCGGCCGCAGCCAGCCCGGCCCGGCTGGCTGGGAGCCCTTGGCCAGCCCGCCGGCCTGATGACTCAGGCTTTCCACCTGTGAGCGGGGAGGCCTGGCGCTGGCCGCCGCCCTAGCCCCGGGGCTAGGGGCCCACAGCTGCCCAAACCCTTCACAGGCAGGCCTTGAAGCGGAGACCTGCTTTCAGGTCACGCAGCTGCTGTGTCTGCTGTGAATACATCTCCGTTTGTGGCTGCTCCATTAGGAATTCCCGCAGAACTCCTGTACCGAAAGAAAGGATTACTAACCCCCAGCGCATGTGGGGAAAATTAGCAGCTTCTGCAGAGAGGCCTTTTAATAGATACTCTTCAGTGGCAGCAACTTGGAACAGCACTGGCCGGCTCTTCTCTGGGGACAAGCTCCTGGGCTGAGCGGGGGTGCTGGGGGTCGTGGGAAGCCCCTGGGTGGCGCTTTCAAGGTGAGGTGTCTGGGAGTGGCCGGCCGGCCAGAGCCGAAGCCTTAGGCTTTGCCAAGCGTGTGTGTCTCCTGAAGGAGCCGCTTTCGACGTGTCTCCAGGGTGGATGGTGGGAGCCGCTCGGCACCTGGAGGCCCAGGCCGGCCAGGAGGGAGGGTTCGGTGTGGGCCTCAGCCTGGCGAGGCTGCTGCCCTGGCTCCCGGACGAGGGGCCCGGCAGGACCCTGGCACCGGATGGGCTGGCCCTCTGCGCGGTGCTGGGTTCTGGGAGGAGGGCCAGGAGCTCAGGCTGACTCAGAGCGGGAGGGCAGGCCTCCGGAGCCCACGCCGCCAAGGTGGGGCCTAAGGAACGGGCCGCTCGGGCTGGCTGGGGCCTGGCTCTGGCGCTGCCAGGGAGGGTCTCCCCGCTTCCCTGCACTCTGCTTCTGGAAGAACCAGTGACCGGAGTGGCTAAGGGATGAGGCTTTGGAGCTGGACAGGCCAGCTTTTGTGGGTTTAAATATAAGCTCCAGCACTTACCCTTGACCCGACTTCTCTTAGTTTCTTTAGCTTCTCCCCAGCTAAATGCGAGTAACTGACAAAGCTTCCCCAGCAGGCTGCAACCAGCACCCGGGTGTATGCACCCGCCCCGTGCCTTTGCTGCTCACTCCTGACGCCTCCTGATGTAGACGAGGACCCAGGCGGTATAGCAGATGTACAAACACGTATGCTCCGTAGTGCAGTAGACAGGATAGATAGCTGTGTCTGGCGACCTTGAGGTACTCATCGCTACGCCCACCTACCCTTGTCCAGTTCTCCCAAGTTCTAGGCCCTGTTCTCGCCTCACAGCACACACAAAACCAGCACTCTCACTCCAGGGGGCAGAGATGAAGGATCAGCTGCACGCAGGTACCTGAAAGTGGAAAGTTCTTTCAGAAAAACCAACCAGGCTCAAGAGGGAGAGAGACAGACAGCCGGACGGGTGTGGGGCTGCTTCCCTAGCTCGGGTGGAGGGAGAGGAGGCTGAGGAGGTGACACTGAGCAGAATCTGCAAGAAGTGAGACCGGGGCCAGGCAGGTGATCGGCAAAGAAACTTCCAGAAAGAGCTAGAAAGTACAGTCCCATGTGGGAGTCTGCGGAGGGTGTGGAGAGACAGTGAGGAGGTTCTAGAAGTATGGGGGTGAGTGAACAAGGGAGGTGCTGGACACTGGGACCAGCGGGGACAGGGCCGCTCGGGGCCGCGTGGGCTCACGTCAGAGGCAGGAGAGGGTGCGCTGTGGCAGAGCTGACCTGCCTGTCGTTTATAAAACGAGGAAAAGGGCAAAACCTCATCCATCTCTTGATTCATGTAGCCACAGGGTTCTCACAGGAAACCAGCCGAGCCACTCGGCACCGCCCAGGCGCTGGGCCACGTCTGCCGTGACAGCCGGTGGCGGGGCGGCGGACCCCGTCCTGCGTGGTCGCCCGGACTCTGGACTTGGCTTCTCATCACAGCCCTCTCTTGTCTCGCCCTCAGCCCAGCGGTCGGCGCACGAGCTGCCCATGGTGGAGAGACAGGACACGGACAGCTGCCTGGTGTACGGGGGCCAGCAGATGATCCTCACTGGACAGAACTTCACGGCCGAGTCCAAAGTCGTGTTCACGGAGAAGACCACAGGTCAGGGGCCTTTCGAGCTTGTGTTTTGGCCACTGGAGCCATGTAAAAGTGACCACCTCTTTCTCCCAGCAGCGTTGGGGGTGGGGGTTGACCCCATTGTGCGAGCTTCATATTCCGCCCCCTTTGCTCACAGCGACAGTCTCCCCGGCCCCTGGGCCTGGATGTCAGTGCCGGCCACTGTGATGCCCGTGTGCCAGGACAGGTCTTGACTGCCCCTCAGTTGTCGCGTTGGGCAGTGAAGGGGCAGCCTCTCCATCTTTCTACTGTGACCGGCACGTGACCAGGCACGCACGCTCCGGTCTGGCACGTTCTGGGTTCGAATCCTGGCTTGGCTGCTCGCTTACTGTGATTCTAGGAAATGACCACGCACTGCTGCGCCCACCTGGTTGAGTGTAGAGCGTGTAGAGCCATAGCGACACGAGTCACCATCTCTGTGCAGGCAAAACGAGCTGATCCTGGCCACAGAGTCATAAGCCAGCGAACGTCGGCCACTTAGTTTTTGTTAGAAAATAGTGCTGTAGTCTTAGGCTTTCAGGACTCCTTGCTTGATGTTAGATAGGACTCTGTTTTGGCTCTTTCGGGTTCACTGCTAGCAGTGGGGTCTTGGAGAGTCATTCTGAGAGCTTTAATATAGATCACTAAACTGCCTTTCAGAATTCTACAGGTCAGAACTCCCCACTGCCGTGTCCGTAATGGTTTCACCGCAGCCCAGGGGTGCCACTTCTTTGCATTACAAAAATATACTGAGCGTTGCCTTTTTATTTTGCTCTGAGGGTGTCAATGTCTTCTTCATTCATCGGTCAGGTGTACACCTTCTTCCCTGTACTGCTCCCGGTGAGGACATGGTAAAAAGAAAATGGCCTGGAGTAGGAAAAATGTCAGTTTGCACAATTACTGGGCCCTTGTAGATGCTACCCTGGTTCTCTTTTGGCTGGACGTCATTTCGGTGGGTCAGTTTGCAGGGTACTGATGCTTTTCTGTTTGTTGGTTGCCCGCAGGATGACCCGATCACAGGCAGCCTGGCCAGTTGTAGGGATTGTGCACTGCACAAGGGCCCTAATTGTGGGGGCTGCCGCTTGAACTGGGTACATGCTTGACCTGTGTTTTTTTTTATTACAAAGTTTATTTTTACATCATTTTGTACATTTTTTTTTCCCATCTTGATTGTAATCCCCGCGGGTTTCCCATCACCAAATCACCCGTGTGCCATCACCATAATCCCGTGCATTTCTCTCCTCCCCACCCCCGTTTTTGATCCCATTCCCCACTCCACCCCCACAAAATGTCTCTGGTATATGGTTGTTCATTATTTTTGTTATTTTCTCGCCTGGTCCATTATACTCCTGCTATGAGCGAAACCATCCGGTATTTTTCTTTCTCTTTCTGGCTTATCTCACTAAGCACGAGCTTTTCCAGCTCCATCCAAGTTGCTGCAAAAGACATGTGTTTCTCTTTTTTGGTTGCTGAGTAATATTCCATTGTATATATGTACCACATCTTTCTAATCCAGTCATCTACTTTTGGGCATTTGGGCTGCTTCCATGTTTTTCCAATTGTAAATAAAGCAGCAATAAACATGGGGGTACAAGTATCTTTTTCAATCAGTGTTTTTGTGTCTTTTGGGTAGATACCTAGGAGTGGGATTGCTGGGTCGTAGGGAAGCTCCATGTTTAGCAGTTTGAGGAACCTCCAGACAGTTTTCCATAGTGGTTGTACTAGTTTGCATTCCCACCAGCAATGCAGGAGAGTTCCTTTTTCTCCACATCCTTGCCAACAATTGTTGTTGCTAGTTGTTTGAAGATGTGCCATTCTCACTGGGGTGAGGTGGGACCTGTGTTTTACCGAGACCACGTGGGATGGGGGACACAGGGTGTCTGGGGAGGGGTGCTTCGTCCTAGTTCACTGCAAGCGGCTTCTCGGGATGGACCTGCTTTTTCCTACTTTGTGTGCCAGAGGGCAGAATTGATTTTAAATAAGGGATGAGCCGTCATGCCAAAGAAAGGGGGGGCAGCATAGAGCCGTGGCGGCGGGCAGCGGAGATGGACTGATGGGTTTGGGTGTGGGAGGGTTTAGAGAGCACGCGCTTGGCCAACACTTCAGGCTGGAGAGGCCGCCATGCGCAGGAAGCTGAGCTTAGGGATGCAACTTTTAAATGCAGGTTTTACATTCCGCTTTTTAACTCTTATTTACTGATTTGTATTTATTTATATATATATTTGAGGTGATGGCTTACACGTTGTGTGATTCAGAGGGACAGGCTCACACCCACCCACCACCAGAGCATCTGGAATCTCCACCACAGTCCATGGGCCACCCCATTCCCCCCACCGGCCCCCTCTGATAGCTTCAGTTCTGCAGTCAGATTTTTAGGGTGGTTTTGATTAGTTTTGCCTATTCTTTTGCCTCTACAGTGAAACCATCTGGCCTTTGTCTTCCCCTTTGGCTTGTATCACTTAACATCGCCCCTCCAGTCCCATTCATGTTGCAAATGACAAGAGTGCATCAGTTTTCATAGCCGAATACTATTCCATCATCTCTACGCTCTTCTTAACTCCCTGGGGCGCTTAGGGTGCCCCACAGCTCTGTTGTAAGTAGGGCTGCAGTGGACACGGGGGTGCAGACAGTCCTCTGCATGAAGGCTTTTGCATTCGGCGGTAGATATCTGGAGTGGGATTGCTGGGGCAGATGGGCGACCTATATGCGAAGTTTTGGGGAACCTCCATGCTGCCTCCCACAGGGGCTGGGGCCTGCGTGTGTCCCCATCAGCAGTGTCCACATGCTTCCTCTCCCCACGCCCTCTCTGGCGCTTGTTCTTTCTGCTTTTTTTTAAAGAAAAGATTGATCTCTATTTATGCATACAAGAGCTAGGGTGTAGCCAGAGATCGTGGGGGGTGAGAGGACTCACCAGACACAGAGCGGGGAGCAGAACAGGCAGATGGACTGAAATCCACTGCCGAGGGGAGCAGCGGGGAGACAGGAGAGGTCTGCTGCGCCCGTGGGTCACCCCCTGGCCGGGGTTCAAGCTCAGGCCTCAGTGGCTGGTGATGACTTGATAGTGCTGGCTTTAACCCCTGCGCCACCAGGGAGGCTCTTCTCAAACTTTCTCAGGTGTGAGGCAGGATTTCATTGTGCATTTCATTTGCATTTCCCTGAGGACAAGTGAGGACACACCTGCTCTCCTTGGGCATCGCCGCTTTCAACCTTCTGCTTTCATAAGTGACCCCGCGGCCAGCACCCACGGCCGCCCCTCCTCATGCAGGAAGCATCCACGCTGTCCGCTCGGCCAGTCCCTGACGTCCGAGCAGCACCTTCGCACCTGACCGAGGAGGAGGGTGGCAGGCTTCCTCTCGGGGTACAGGACACGAAACGCACCCCTTATGCACGTTTGTGCCTGTGAAAAGCTTGTTGTGTGTGGCGAGCGCCGGCGTGTTGGGGTCACGGCCTCTCTATGGTGGAGTGGATTCAGGGGGAAATGGGGACTTTAAGTGGTGGGGGCAAAGTAAATATTCTGTGACACGAGTTGCCAGGCTCCTGGGAGGCCGAGGCGTGCCCGTGGCTGGGGCTGGAGGCCGGCTGACACTGGCGGTGTTTGGAAGCAGGCAGACACGTTTGGAGCCGTTCGGAGACGCGCCCGGCGCCGGGAACGGACACACGCTTGCTGGGGGACAGGGACTCTGTCGGCTCTCGGCCAGGAGAGCGGCACCCCATGGAGAGTGTGCCAGCCCGCTCTCTCCTGCCCTAGGAAACCGTGGACGTCACGAGGGGCGCTGACTTCAGAGCGCGGTGCCGAGTCCCTGACCGTGTCTTGTCGAGGTCCAGCTCAGAGGGCCCCCGGGCTGGGGCTGGGTGCCAGGGAGCCACGGAGGGCGGGGGGAGGCCAGGCTCCTGGCCGAGTTAGAGGCCAGTGGCTTTCCCTGTCCGGGAGCTCATGCACTTGGAGCTGCTCAAGGGCTTCCAAGTATTTGCCGAAGAACGAGCAGACCCGTCGGTGAACAGTGTTTGCTCGTTCGCTTCTCCTGGTTTCAGAAGAAATTTCAGCTTACCTCTGAAAGGGAGGAAGCCTCAGGGCCTGATTCAAATTTGAACAGTTGACAACTAAGTAAAATAATAAAAATTGCGCCTGAGGTCAAGCCCTGTCTGAGGGCCTCCGTCTTCCCGCACATCCTCTCGGCTAAGCCACTCCCCGGGGAGGTGGACAGCAGGCTTAGAGGAGTCGGACCTCTCTGTAGACGACAGCCAGCCCCGCCCGCTGTGCCCGATCTCTGTCTCCCTGTGACGAAGGCCACAGGCTGGCACCGTCCAGTGGCACCTACGAGATGCCCCTTCACTCTCTCGTCCTCACGGCCCCCAGCGCGGCTCCGGCCAGCGTCCCACCAGCCTGGCCCCTGCCTACGCTGGCCGAGCAGGGAGCTGACTGCCCGCCGCGGGGGCACAAGCCGGGGTCCTGAGACCAGCAGGCTGGGCTTCGAGTCCGAGGTCTGCACTTAGCAGCTTTGTCATCCCCGGGAAGTCACTTTGCCTCTCTGAGGCAACATTTCCTCTTTCGCAAAGTCCAGATGATTTTCTTCTCTTGAGAGATGAGAAGATGAGATGAGATCAGGCTCTTTGCTTAGAACTTGGCACATTGTGGATGCTCATTCAGTAGAAGCTTCTCTTTCGATCATCGTCATATTCGGGGTGTGGAAGGACAAAGATAAGGAAGGTTTTATCTCACGGAACCGAGAAACACTGGAGGACAATAAGTAATGATGATAACAAACGTTGTGCCAGACCTTGCTCTAAATCCCTTCCACGTATCACCTGTTCTGGGTCCTGAGCTACTGTTCTGCTAGCCGTGCTGGTGAGAAACCGAGCACAGAGAGGTTAAGTAACTTAGTGAAGATCACACAGCTGGCAAATGGCAGTGCTGCTTTGATCCCAGGCGACCTAGCTCTGAAATCTGCACCTTTGGCTACTTGCTGTCCTACTCTGAAAACGCTTGGACGGAAGTTAATCAGCCT